GCTGTGCAATATACTTGCAATTACACAGTATCTAAACCTCAAGATAGTGAGCAAGCATCTGTCTGAGGCATCAACACTTCAATTCAACTGAGTCATTGCAAGAATTTGCATTAACTGCTTTTACAACCACAAAACACAGGACCTTTATTTTTATAATTCAGATTGTAAATGAGTTAAAATTATTTTCACAATAAATCAGTATTCCAGTTGAGTTGACAGATGAGAAAAGAAGCTTTAAACTTTATTTTCATCGACAAATATGGATGAGTGTCAATTCTAGGCTGAGAGAAAGGATAATTGTATTGATTTGGGAGTAAATTTTAATCCTGTATCAGTCAGTTTAATGCTGGTGTAAGTAACCTTGATGTATCCCTTCACAAACCAGAATGGAACTCATTTCCTTTCAAATTCCAGACCAAAGCAGCGGTCTTTCGTGGTAACAAAATTATTTTTTATCACGAAATATCAAAGTTGCATGTAATACATTGTTGGTTTTTTTGCCATCCCTCTCAGAAATAGTGCCAGTAATAGTGTTCACAGCTCACTGTCAAGATTTAAGGCTTCAAATTCATGAGTGTTCAGAATTTTCAGCATGTGAAACTTAAAATGATAACTTGTCTTTTCTTGACACTCTATATAGAACAGCCTATAGAAATAGAAAGTAAAATTTAGAAAGATTGTGTGATTTGTCCACAGTTCTAGTGGTTCTAAAGACTATTTAGATCTTAAAGACTCAAATCAAGTCCGGAAAATGGCAAACTATGACCTTTAGGCAGTGTGAGGATACACTTTTCGTACCATATCCTCAGCCATTCTTCTGCAGATACTATTCATGTAATGTTTGAGCCAAGGTATGCATTATTTAAACAATTATCAATAATTATTGCAATCTTGGTTCACTTTATCTATATAGCTTAACCCATCAAAACACTTCGCTCAACCACCAAAATTCTACTTGATCTTACTATTACAAGGTTAATATTGTTTAATCTCTCTTTCAATAACTGGGTCATCAAACGACCTACATTTTTATCATTTTCGAAATTAAATCTTAACATGTCCTTCAGAATTAACAAAATATCAATTGTTGTCTTGAATAGCTGAAAGAATTCAAACTTTCTGCAAATAATTTCTGAATTCCTCTGGTTAAAATTTTGATATATTTTGGCTGCACTACCATAATTACCCTGGTGGCCATGCTCATTCTTTGCAATCTTGACAATTTTTTTGGAGAGTCCACATAGCTAAAAATATGACTTTGATGGTCAAAAGAGGTCATTCTTAATATGGGAATAGACAATGTACAGAGTCCAGCGCAGTGTACAGTCTGGGATTATCAATGTAGTTGAAATAAGTTAAAGGAGTGAATACACTAGATTGGGTCTAGAAATTGAGCGGACACAATTCTCTGCTACTATAATCTACAGTAGCTTCCAACCTTTAAACCTAATAGCTATAAGTTAAATTCAAATTCAAAACCTTAATTCAGTCTGAGCTCCAATATAAAACTACAACAATAAGACATTACAAGGATCTCTTGAGTTTTTTAAAAAAGATTCATCTTTAATGTTTGTATTTTTCATAAAGACAAGACTTGGTATGGTATGGCTGACCAACCCATTAACAAAATTTGATCCTAGTAAATAATACAAAATTTCACAGTAGGTATCAAAATAAGACTACTAAGAAGTATATGTTATTGCCAATATAAATAGTATATTTCTCACTGTTATTTTAATAACATAAACATATAAAATAGGTCAAAAGGTTAAAATAGTATATATTATAATTTGTAATCAGTATAGTACTATAGTTTAATCTAAAACATACTTGATGGTCTAGTCTAATAACTTTACTCATATACTTATATACACTATCTACAGGTACTCGAAAATTTTAAAGTGGTAGTTTTCACCAATTTAAAGGGTATATTTTGAAAAATCTATATCATAGCCACAATGAAGACATGGATAAAAGCCTTATGTTGAAGTATGCAGTGAGGGAAATTATGTCAGGACAGCATAAGCTGGTCTAGTCCAATAACTTTACTCATATACTTATATACACCATTTACAGGTACTCGAAAATTTAAAAATTGTTACTTTTCAAGAATTTTAAGGAATATCTGTATCATAGCCGCAATGAAGACTTGGATATAAGGGTTTAAGGTGTAGTGTGCGATGAGGAAAATTTTGCCAGGAAAGCTTAAGATAGTCTAGAGTCTAGACTTAACTAATATACTTATATACACTGTCTACAGATACTTGAAAATTTTAAAGTGCTACTTTTCACCAATTTACAGGGTGTATTTTGACAATTATAAGACTTATGTTGAAGAATGAATATTGCCTGGACAGCAGAATCAGTTTACTTTTTTTCCGATTGTCAAGGGATCTGAAACATACCCAAGTTCTCTATTTATAGACATATCAAAGAGGATCACAGATAGAAATATCTAATCACAATTCCATTTTTTTTAAGCTGGTATATACTCAAATAATTCAACATTTCTACGTTAACTGTAGATCTTTACTTCGAGAGAGTAGAAATTTCAGTGTAAGAAAAAATAGAACACTTTTAAAGCTTTTAAATTTAATCTGATAACAGGCAGTATAGCATCCATAAGATTGAGTTTCTCCTGTCTATGTATTTTGTTTTAAAATAATTATGAAAATACTGATGTAATCTTATTTAAGCTTTGGAAAGTGGATAAACCCAGGTGCATGAAACAAGATGGCATCAGACAACAATGGTCAATAATGCCCAGCTCACAACAGGTTGTAACAGGTGCCCTTTTGTAGTAAATAATAGCCTAGTAATTAGCATCAGTTACATGTCATATTATAATTCTCAGTCTTTAATAAATGGCATGACAACCATACAAAATTATTATCCTTGAAATAATGTTGCTTTCATAAAGGATTAAAAATTGATAAAAGATAAGATTAGCCTTGCCGCCTACACAGTTTGCTTGTAACATATTAATACTACAGTACAGAATTAGAGAAACATACAGTTTATATCAAAATTAATGTTTTTTGTTATCATTTTTTCACTTGAGTATTATAATTAGTAATAGATGTATTATATCAAACATTGAGTTCATTGAAACATTTTACTTTGGCTAAATCAGTTCCACAGAGGAACTCAGTTGTACACTTGGTTAAACAAGTACTCTAGGGTTTTGATCAAATTATGAATTAAGACAAAAATTTGGGCTTTTTCAAATTCTGTTTTGTCCTGTCAGTCATTCTGTACAGAAGGCCTGGTATGGAAGTAGTTTCTAGTTGTTTGAATAGTATAAGCCGAGCCCTGATGGCTGAAATTTAATCACACAGATTGGCGTTGCCTGTCTTCATTGGACATTGAGCTGTGACTTCACCCTCCCTCAACAAATCACTTTGCAAAATGAAAAGTGAAGAAGCTGCAATAATGTAGTAGCACTGAATAATATATGGATACACATTATAACCATTACAGTCCAGATATTTTGATTCTGCCTTAGTACAGGTCAAAGATCTTTCAATTCCTGAAGTAAATTTTTGGCCAGGGCACAATCCAATTCGACATGAGGTAAAAGGTTGCCTTTAAACTATATTTTTGAATTATTTCTACCATTGACTCATTGAACTACTTTTTGATACCAAGACAATGGATCTATTATATTTTTGACAGTATCTTATCTGGATGCCCTAGACTCTAGTATATTACCTATACAAAACATGATAATCTATCAACATAAACACACCATGTAAGCACAATCAGAGCCTTTTTTCATAAAAGCTTCCCTGGCATTGTATTAAATCCAAAACTACAATAATCTTTGTTATCAAGGCCTTGACTTACATATCAATTAGGCAAATATGCAAAACAATAATGTGTCTGGCCCTCACAGGAAATTGTAACTCACATACATTCGAAATGTCTTGTCAATTTTTATCGATTTCAAACTGTTGAGGGATCTTTTACGAGCACAGCAGCTTGTGCCATCCTTGGCATACATACACAATTGTGCAAAACAAAATGTCTTTTCAATTTTTATCGATTTCAAACTGTGGATGAAGTATTGTTTGTATTACAAGTTTAAAATTTGACAAATCCCTCCACAGTCAGTGTATGAAAGATGAATAAGTGTCACAGTTTTGACAAAATTTCCCTAACTGCACAAGGCATCACATTGTCAACCCCTCAAACCTGCATCTGCTGACAGGGGGGACACTGGATTGAAAACTTCAGAAGTATTATCTTGACCTTTCAACCCCAAGCAATCATACTTTTTAAAGATTTCTCATTTATAATTAACATTTCTATTTTCTAAACCTTTAACCTTGTTTTATAATATATATCACTTTGTGGCCTAGGCCAGTGCTTTTATGGTCTTATAAGCACTTTGTTTTATCGGATTAATTTTTTTTACCTAGGCCAGTGCTTTTATGAGAATGTTGTCTCATCACAATCTAACACTAATTCTATAGGAGAATATCTCTTATAAACTAATATACGAGGTGAAAACAATATATTAATACTGTACACTTGAAGAAAGGAGTGTTATAATAGATGAACGGTCATTTATGTCCCCTGTGTACATTACTATTACTCTTAGACTGCAGTAATTTCTGAACTGACTTTTGCTTGTCATTTACATAATATTCAAGATGCAATTTTCAACTGTATGTCATTTTTTTTGGATGTCTTCAGGTCTAAGGAAATGTAATATTTGATGTTTTTGCATTTAAAATAAACACACTTCCCTCCCAGAAATTTCACCTGAAAATGACCCACATTTTAGACTCAACATTCCTCACTGTAATTCCAACATTTTTAATTGGTTGCAATTTTTATCAACCCATGAGCAATCCCAGACCCTGCATACTAATCTGCAGTTGAAATTTCCATTCTGTTCAAAATAATTATGTGATTGAGATACCCGTAGTGGTCCAACACTTTATAGGACTATAGCTGTCTACTGATCATAAATAATTCACTGCACATAAACTTACCTATTTTTTGGTTAAATATTTTATCAAACGTAACTTCGTGGTTTTTTGTTAGATGTTTGTGCATAACACTCCTTACACTGAAAGAGACAAGATATAGGGTTGGTGGCAATAGCGGATATATTTTTATTTGCTGGGCAATAACATTCATAATCCCGGTAATATATGATATACATCAGTTGACAGTCTATCGACTCGCTTTGATCTCATATACTCCGTTATAACGGTACATAGGGGTATGGAATATGGCTGATAATACACACCTTGGATCTGGGAGAACTATTTTCTTGCTGGCCCTGGCTGCTGGAGTAGATTTACTCTTCTCCATAGCCATAAGATAGCTCACATCGGCCAATACTGCTTCTAGATCCGCCATGTTGGAATAATAAACAGAGGCTAGCTGAGAAATGTATTCCAACTAGACGAGCCAAGCGAATGAAACAGACAGCTAAAACACAATAATTCACTCTCGACACAGAATCACATGGTAATCCAGTTTTAGGGGACAGCAGACATGGTAGATTTAAGATAAAAAGGGGGTTGAATTCTCAAAACACTAGAGCAATCCACGACACACTTTCGCCAGTCGTCGTTCAACATATACGTAAATATTAATTAGTATAGCAGAGCGAGGCGCTATACAGAACAACGTTGTATTATTGTAGCCTATAGAGCCGACTGGCTAAACTCCACTGTTAGTCGTCGTGCTACTGCAGTACGAGAAACTATTCTTCTAGGCTTATTATCGATTTAGGCTCTTCACAATATAAAATAACTGATCTTCTAATGTATAACGGCAGTAAATATTAATCTAATGGCTCTATTTAGTATTTAATGGAATTTGTAAGGTTTATTTTTTTCGCTACGATAATGAATAGTGCATCTGTTCTTCATAATATATGCAAAACAGTTAACCAATTATTACCTCTTCCACTCGGTGCCAGATCCATTGTCTGCGATGCGTGATGATATCGTGTAACTACGATCACTGTAAAAAAAAATAGAATATAGCAATTGATACTAGATTAATTATCGTGTTTTATTTATAGTGAACTAATGGCAGTTTTATTCCCTGGGTTATCGCTCTTATTGTCATTTATTATTTACTGATACTGCTATATATATGATAACATATACTGATGGATGTACTGGTACTGCTATATATATGATAACATATACTGATGGATGTACTGGTACTGCTATATATATGATAACATATACTGATGGATGTACTGATACTGCTATATATATGATAACATAATTATACTGATGGATGTACTGGTACTGTTATATATATGATAACATATACTTATATATTGATGGATGTACTGGTACTGCTATATATATGATAACATATACTTATATACTGATGGATATACTGGTACTGCTAAATATACAATAACATATACTTATATACTGATGGATGTACTGGTACTGCTATATATACAATAACATATACTTATATATTGATGGATGTACTGGTACTGCTATATATATAACATATACTTATATACTGATGGATATACTGGTACTGCTATATATATGATAACATATACTTATATATTGATGGATTTACTGGTACTGCTATATATATGATAACATATACTTATATACTGATGGATGTACTGGTACTGTTATATATACAATAACATATACTTATATACTGATGGATGTACTGGTACTGCTATATATACAATAACATATACTTATATACTGATGGATTTACTGATACTGCTATATAAATGATAACATATACTTATATACTGATGGATGTACTGGTACTGCTATATATATGATAACATATACTTATATACTGATGGATGTACTGGTACTGCTATATACACAATAACATATACTTATATATTGATGGATTTACTGGTACTGCTATATATATGATAACATATACTTATATACTGATGGATGTACTGGTACTGCTATATATACAATAACATATACTTATATACTGATGGATGTACTGGTACTGCTATATAAATGATAACATATACTTATATACTGATGGATGTACTCATACTGCTATATAAATGATAACATATACTTATATACTGATGGATGTACTGGTACTGCTATATATATGATAACATATACTTATATACTGATGGATGTACTCATACTGCTATATAAATGATAACATATATTTATATACTGATGGATGTACTGATACTGCTATATATATAACATATACTTATATACTGATGGATGTACTGGTACTGCTATATATACAATAACATATACTTATATACTGATAGATATACTGGTACTGCTATATATACAATAACATATACTTATATATTGATGGATTTACTGGTACTGCTATATATATAACATATACTTATATACTGATGGATGTACTGGTACTGCTATATATACAATAACATATACTTATATACTGATGGATGTACTCATACTGCTATATAAATGATAACATATACTTATATACTGATGGATGTACTGGTACTGCTATATACACAATAACATATACTTATATATTGATGGATTTACTGGTACTGCTATATATATGATAACATATACTTATATACTGATGGATTTACTGGTACTGCTAAATATATAATTACAATAATAACAAATACTTATATACTAACGAATTTACTGGTGCTGCTATAAATATATAGTAAACGTGTACTTATATACTAATGGGTTACCTGATAGATGAATAGATATATAGTAATAGGACTATATTATTCTGCAATCAAATAAAATCATTATCAATATCAATCTCGGTTTCATTCTCACGCTGTAGATAGGGGACCACTCGCTTTAGAAACCGAACTTGTGCCAAATAATTGGACCAGTAGCTTAATAGTGGTACCCAGGAGTACCCGCCCTACTGATACAAAGCCTTGGTTTAATTGGCCGTATCCCCTTACCTCCTTCAATATGAACTCTCTCATCAAGTATTAAATATTAAGCCGCCTCCTCTATTACGATGACCTGCTTGTACTGCTTTATATAAACTAACATTTATTGACAGATACATAGCATTTAGCATTGTATTGATTAGAGCAATGTCATTCAAATGCATGGACTAAATCAACCATTCTATTAACATAAAATGTATTAATATAAGATAAGCAAAATTCAACACAGCTGTGTTGTCATCCGATATGATGATATATCTGAAACAATACAATGTATTCAGATCCTTCTACCAACTACCACGACTTAAAAAAAACTGGAAACGGACGTTAACCAACCAACAAACTTACTGTTGCCCTACTCAACTACCACACCAACAGTACTACAGTAGCCTACCAATACCATCCAAATCATACTATCAAATTGGTGTATGCTAATACTGAAATCCTTAGCCCCCACTTGTGACCTACGCCAGTGATTCCATAGGTGAGTATCTCTTATAACACCATACACTTCCACGACTACCAACAACTACCTAGTTTGTGATATCAGTATTAGCTGGAAGCAGACATTAACTTGACATCTACAGACAACTATCTAGTATAAGGTTTTATAAGAGATACTCTCTTATAGAAGCACTGGTCTAGGTCACAAGGACTTCAGCTTTAGAATACATCAATTTGATAAGAAGTTGCCTACTTCTGGAGAGATTTACAAGATAAAAAAATAATTCAAAAAGGAGTTAATGAAAGGGGATCTAATCTACCATGGGCAAGAACATTACTCAGATTTTTATTCCTTTTGTAAGCAGTCACCAAACGTTTAGTATAGATGTTAGGGAATTCATCCTGGAGTTCTTTATGAAAGCGTTTGACATAGGCATATTTAGCTGTAGAATTGTAGGCGGCAATTTGTATAATTTGATTGTCATGCTGTATATTTATAGGCCGTTAGGTACAACTGTTTGTAATTGGTCTATCTAGAAACTCTCCCTTTGCAATCGCTTCTAGTCTACGATATCAGTTAGCTGGAAGTGTACGTTAACTTGTCATCTATCAACAACTACCTGGTCTGTGATATCAGTTAGTTGGAAGCGCAAATTTACTTGTCACCTCCAACGCAATATCAGTTAGCTAGAAGCGGATGTTTACTTGTCATCTACCAACTCGAAAACAGTTATCCGGAAGCGGACGTCAATTTGTCATCTACCATCTAAGTCTATGATATCAGTTAGCAAGAAGCGGACTTTAACTAACCTGCCATCTACCAACAACTACAGAGTCTGTGATATCAGATCCTATTACCATGCACGACTACCAACAACTACGTAGTCTGTGATATCAGATCCTACTACGATGCACGACTACCAACAACTACATAGTCTGTGATATCAGATCCTACTACCATGCACGACTACCCACAACTACATAGTCTGTGATATCAGATCCTACTACCATGCACGACTACCAACAACTACGTAGTCTGTGATATCAGATCCTACTACCATGCACGACTACCAACAACTACATAGTCTGTGATATCAGATCTTACTACCATGCACGACTACCAACAACTACATAGTCTGTGATATCAGATCCTACTACCATGCACGACTACCAACAACTACGTAGGCTGTGATGTCAGTTTCTGTTTGAATAGGACGTTAAACTGTCATCTACCAACAACTATGATATCAGTTGCCTGGAACCAAAGCAGACGTTGAGTTGTCATCTAACAATTAAATATACCTAGTCTGCGATATCAACATCTTATGGAAGCGGATGTAAACTTGCACATTACCTACCAACAACTAGCAAGTCTGCGATACCAGCTATAACTGATAGCAAACGTTAACTGTAATCTACCAACAGCTACCTAGTCTGCGATATCAGTTGGCTGAAACCTAATTTCACAAAAACACATCATGTTATTTGATATAATTAACTATACATTGCAATCGGCTTATTAACTACATAACGTATTTTTCCGGTGATAGATAGTGTTATTATCCCATAGCTTAATTAGTAGCGAGCACCTGTTCCTCGTCACCATCATATTGACTAGTTTAAACGTAGCTTTTATTGATCTATGAAATAAGACCACCTAATTGCTTATCGACTGGTTAATTTCTATTGATTGGAACCTACTAATTCTGATATATCCTATGGTAGTGTTGGATGCAACACATTTGATGCCAATCTGAATGGTATCGGAAATCAAGTATCACCAAATGACAATGGTTGCCATCGATTTTGTGGGTTGTCGTCAATCCAGAAATTTTATATAACGCCCAAGAATTATCTGCTAATCGGTAAATTACGGGCATTTCTTCGGCAATTTCCGTAAAGATGAATCTTAGCGTTAGCTTAACCTTCACGGTATAGGCCTGCATGGATGGTATATAGGAAATCTAGAATCACCAAAACGACAATGGTTTTCATCGATTTTGTGGGCTGTTGTCGTTATAGAAATAAACCCCAGTTTTAATACAAATCGGCATATAATAGGGAAAAAATGGTCAGTTTATTAGATCACAAAAATAGAGATTTATACATAGGGAACCCAAGTATCACCAAATTACGAAGTCCAAGCATTGGAGATTAATTATCTCATAGGCATATGAGTAAAGTAAATGGTTACAGTGAATGATAATACAGTATATATAAGTATACAACGGGTAGATGTATATTATATTAGGGCGGCAAGATTTGTAAATTAGAAACCACGTATCGCTGTCATGGTTGTCATCGATTTTGTGGGGTGTCGTCATTGCAATAAAACAAGATCTTGGAAGAATCTGATAATCGGTAAATCACAAACATAGAGTTGCAAGCCTTATGTATATTGGAAACCAAGTATCAAGTAGGTGAGGTTTCTACACGGAGTGGATGAGGGGCGGTGGGAGGGAGGTCACGACAATTTTGTGGCCACTACTTGGCCCCTTCACCTAACACTTCATAGAAACATCACTGTACCTAATGACAGTGGTTTTCATCGATTCAGTATGGTTTTATCATCACAAAGATACAACGCCCTAGATTTATTGTATAAATGTATAGAATATCGCTAAAACATACCTACATAATTATCATAGACCTGCATTTAATAATGATACGATCGTTAAATAGATATTGTAGATAGGTCTCGGAGCCCATGTGCCACCATTTATATCCATTATTGTACAGTGAGTCACCATTGAATAAAATATTTCTCTCTTATATACAGTAATTCATAATGCGTTATTTAGTTCATGTTTCATTAGAGGAGTGTCTTGTACGCCTAATTACGAATGTTGTCACCCTATTGCCGCAGCATGACAATAGTAGGGCCGTAGCCAGATTGCCAAACAAGGGGTAAAGGGTTTCTATTTTAATTTACAGGATAACGGCACCATGATAGTAGAATATATTCAAAGATTACCCACCATGGTTACGAAAATGGGTAGAAAAGTGGTACATGAATCTGTGGGTGCTTCGGACGGCCTTCATCCTTGTATAACAGAAGCATGTCCTCTTTTCACAAGCTGCCAAGTGTTGATATAGTCAGCCCTGTTATTCATTCATTGATACCCCTAAACCTCTATTGAACTCTTCCACACATGCATACTTTCTATCAATGATACTGATGATGTCTGTTTTGTTTGTATAATGTAGGAACTCATTTGTAAAATTAGGGGTGTTTTTTTTTTGCCTCATGCCCACATAATATTCAGCCCTTAACTATAAATGAAAAGATATCTTTCTAACCGTAATCTTTTCATAAATATCAATCAAAAAGTTGGAAGCAATAGAGAACTTTACTTTGCATATCTTCAACTTAATATTATTATAATGTGCAAAACTATCTGGATAGATATTTGGAATTGGGTTGTTATACCAATGAAAATATGAAAAAGCACTTCGTTTGTCACACAAAGGACCTGTGTTTGTCAACTTTTCTTCAACGCTCCTGTCAACCTTTTCCTCAACGCTCCTCTCAGGGCCTGTGTTTGTCAACTTTTCCTCAACGCTCCACTCAGGGCCTGTGTTTGTCAACTTCCTCAACGCTCCTCTCAACAACGTATTGCGGCAAACGTTTGTTCACTTTGAGCTAACATATGCTATTATTATACCAGTAACGGGCCATGGATTGTAGTGGTTTTTGTGTTAGTCGATTAAGTGGCATGTGTCAAAGTTGGAAAAATTCTGATGCCAGTGTTTTCCAGAATCATTCCTGGGATGGCTTTTAATTTTTTTTCACCAACATCTATATCACCCCTAGGGATTAAAGGGAAGTAACTATCTTTTTTCAGATGTTAATTGTTATTTAAGAAAGAAATGTGGATAATTCCAAGACAATGTTCCTGACAATACCTTCCTTAGGACTTGTAATGGTGGAAAACATATGTGTGAAATATGCAGAAAAAAAACTTAAATATCGGTTTTACAAATTTACTTTGAGTATAAATACACGCTCAATAAATAACAATAATTTCAAATCAATTATATAATAATGTAGGCTAGATGCTTTCTATTATGAGAGTGCTAACTCTATACCAGTAATTTCTCTTATTAACATAAAATATAACCAACCATTAACTAAGGCAACACACAACCTTCAATTCACACTGAACAATTTCATTAGCAATTGGTCGCACTTTTTTACATTTTTGATTCACAGCTCAACATAATAAAATAAAATAATAATTTCATTTTGTATATTTGTTAAATCATAGAAAAATGCAGTTTTGGTCTGAGATTTTTGTCGTCCATTAGAGCCTTGAGTAAAATCAGGAGGTGTGCCTGTGCTTCTGCGTCCCCAACAGGATTTGTAGGATACTTGTTGATACTTGTCTTTGATAGTTTTATTGTCTGCAAAACAGACCGTTATCATCCAATCAGATTCATTTTCCTTTCAAGTGCATGCTCTGAAAAACGACCGACGAACTTATTAACATTAACAAAATGAACAAAACTAACCTAACAAATTTCTCAAAACAATTAATAAACATGAAGCTAAATATATATCCATCCTAGAATACAAACAGTTTACTAAATTTCCAGGTAGAATAAGTAGGAATAGGAGACAAAATTTGGGTGTTGTATACCCCTACTAAAATTTTTATTACCATGCTTCAAAATATAAAGTCAAAATATAGCCAATATTAAGAAATGTCTTAGAAGGATTATAGGATTACGTCAATATTATTTGATATATATTGATCTCAATTGCCTTTTACAATTACATTTTGTCAGTTTACTTAAAATTAGACCAAATTTTCCTTCAGTTTTTAATTAACTTTCAAATTTTATTTAGCCGCTTTAATTAGACTGACAATTTGTGCTATAGCTGCTGTTTTGATGAACCAATTTGCATACTTTGGTGCATAAATATCATTTTGATTCAACTATTTCTAAATTCACAAATTCTTCTGAAATCTTTCTTGTTAGTAATAACCATTGATATTCAAAGCTCAAGGGTGCGAAAGCTAATATTCATCTTTTCTAAAATCCCAAGATTTTTTCCTGTTTATCTTGTTAGATGTAGTCATGGATATTGAAAGCTCAAGCACAGAAATACCATTAACTGCCAAAGCTTATACAGTAGTAAAGTTACTCTTCTAAAATCCCCGGTTTTATTTTCTCAAATTCAAGATTTTATTTGTTATTTTCTCAAATCTAAGATTTTATTTGTTATTTTCTCAAATCTAAGATTTTATTTGTTATTTTCTCAAATCTAAGATTTTATTTGTTATTTTCTCAAATCTAAGATTTTATTTGTTATTTTCTCAAATCTAAGATTTTATTTGTTATTTTCTAACCATAGAATTGAAATGCTGCTGATAATGCTCTAAAAGTTGATCTTTATCCAAAAACAACAAGTTACACACTGAACATTTTAAACCAGTTTTCACGGTGGTGCTATTTTTATCTATGGTCAGTTGGTTAGAAGTTAGGTGTAGAGATTTGTGGTGATTTAAACTAGTCACATCAGTGAATATCATGTGACAATGTGGACAGTCATATTGTTCGGTGTTCTTTGTATTGGAGCACACTTCTCTATGAGTTAAATATACAGATTTGGATTTGAATGATTTGGCACATGAAGAACATGTATAATATTTAGTTTGAAAGTGTTTAGAAGTTTGTTCTTTATCAAATAAACCATTTTCCATCAGTAAATCAAAATCTTCCTCTGTTTTGTCCTCACTCTCTACACTGCTATTACTGCTATTAACAGCTTGGTGTTGTAGAAAGTCTTTAGAATGAGGACCACAATAGTTTTCATTATGATACGCTAAAGCAGAATTACTCAGAAACGTCTCTTTACAATATCTACACTTCACTGATTGAGGGCTAAAATGAGATCTATAATGAGTATTAAGAGAAACTTTACGAGCGAAATCATGCCCACAAACATCACATTTAAATGGTTTGTCCGAGGAATGGGTGATCATGTGATCACGTAGATTACCTTTCGTAACAAACGTCTTATTACAAACTGGGCAAATAAAAGGTTTATATCCAGTATGTGTCGATAGATGATATTTTAAAGAATTTGATTGGCTGAATCTCTTTCCACAATGACAACATTCGTGAGGTTTCTCTCCTGAATGCACACGCATGTGCACATCCATGTTTGCTTTATAAGTAAAACCTCGTCCACACTCAGGACAATAATGTTCTTTGGTATCGGCATGAATTTTCATATGAGTTTTTAAAACTGGTTTCTGTCTGAAATTCTTTCCACAAACTTCACACGTGTGTCCTTTACGTTTACCACCAAGATTTACACCTTTAGAATGATTTTCAGATATCAAGGAACCAGATGTATGACTTGGAACCTTTCCAACCATAGTTTCCATATTGCTGACTTGATGAGTGGAGATGACAGCAGGGAATGAAAAAGGCACAGGAAATCCCACTGGTAAACTGTGGCTACCAAGTTGATAAGGGATGGCAGGATTCATTATGTAAACTCATGCAGGATCATCTTTACCAATGTGAACTTTTTCTTCCTTTTATGCCTGAAATACAGTTAGACACTTTAATTTTGATTTATTAGCTTTAATAATGGCAAGCACAAGCCATTGTATTCAATGTCGCCTATTAGGCGAAAGTCAGAGAAACAGTCTTTTTAATCAGGCAATGATCAAGGATAATGTCACAACTTAAAGAGACATACATGTATTTTAAGAAAACAATTGTTTTGGGTCTGTGTTGTGGAATAAGGATCTAATTCAGTGGTTTTTATTTGCATCTGCATTTCAATTTACATACTGACTCTGAACAGCGATGTATGCTTTGCTCTAATGTTGCAGAACTATTTTGAGAAGTGCAGGGCTGGCCGTTTCCAAACCAAAATAAAGCCAACCTGCAGCAAAGAATGGAGGATGAATATCCAAGACACTAAAGTAACTGCAGTTATGTAGATATCCTATCTTATTTTATGGATAAAAAGAAGTGGAAATAAAAAAACCACAACTATTATGCTTCTACGATTCCTTATGTCTACATTTACCTCAGTTGAAATTATTTATTTCAGGTGATCTGAACAAAAATAAAGTTGAATGGTCAAAGGGGAATAACTCTATTTAAACAAATGTAGATGTAAAATGAAGACATGGATCATTGAGTTACCCATTCCTCGAAAATAAATCTTCTAAATTTGTCTCTTCCAAGACATAATTTGTAAAAAATATCATAAAAGTATCTAGGTAACTGAAATATTTTACACCTTTCAACCTTAATGGATTTGAATAAAATTATTGATCTTTTCGTTTCACATTAAAAATTCATTAAGCTGATGAAACTTTTGAAAGAACTAAATGTAAACAAAGATAGCTCTTTACGTTAACGACTGTTTTTTTATGGTGTGATTATCGAGATCTGCTCCCTCAACTGTCTCCAGTCCATTCCTTACCGTTTAATGTGAGTACAAACTGAATAATAAGAGCCTACGTGTTTTAAATGTGTACTGTAGTATTTTAAGTTTATGCCTCTTTTTTTTTACTTTAGTCTTAGTGTGCCTTAATTATAGATTTGGATTTGTATGATTAATGTTGCATAATTACCATAATTGAAATTCTTCGTTTCACTTTCAATTACAAATGCCATTTAGAATATCTTTACACTTTCAAACAGGACAAGGTAATGGTAATACAGAAATATTCTGCTAAATAATTGACACAGTAAATTGTAATGGCAGTTCAGAAAATATGAAGCACCGTTCTTCAATTTCATAATTTTTATGATTTTTATATTTACCGGTATTTTAAATTCTCATAGCTCCTACAGTAGATTTTAGATTTTAAGTTAAGTTTTAAGTTCTCTTAATTACGTATTATAATTATATTATTTCCTCAATTATTATCAAGGATCCTATAACTGCATGATAACCATTTGCTTGCGAATTTTATTGAATAACTAAAAGGCATTTAATATTAAACAGGGAGCTGTGCTATCATCAATATAAGAAAAAAACCTTCATGTAGCCTACTTGTAACTTTTTGAAAATATAATCTGATTTACTTTAACATTTAATTTTAACTCAGTAAAAGACATTTAGCTTGCACATTGGCATTAACTTTCTTTTAACTTCTTTGTGACTTAATATTGAGTGATCATGAATGTGCTCAGTATGTAACACAAGAGATCTCAGTCAATTGTCCCATCTATGATTTCAGTTCTCACTGCCTTTTTACAATGTCACCCCTTAAACTTGTATCACTGACAGTGAAAACTGGGTTGAATGATAAAGATAAAGGGACTTGTTTAAGAAAATCGTTGTTTGTGTTATGGATTATTATCTTTGTATTGTTGATCTACCCTCTATACATTTCATATTTGACCTCCGCTAGTCATATCTTAGTTTTAAATTGAACACGATATGAGCGTACATGATACCTGTTTTCTATGTCAAGGATTTATCTTGTCATTGTCATTCCTTAGTGGAAACGGATATCAATCATTCTGTGACAATTTCAGGTAGAAAATTTTCTAGTTTTGCATTTTCTATTATTTTGTTAAGTAGCAGAGACATTTCCCTAGCAATATTATATCATTAATTGATCTTAAGTGTTACACAATCTCTTATGATAGATATACTTCTTCATTTGAAAAGTTCATTAGCTGCTATCAATGTTTTGCCAATATGTAATTTTGTGTTTCGTTTTGTGACTTGCATTGTACTTAGTTTATTTATAACTCTTGCAGTTTATGAAAATAAAAAATTTAAAAACATGCTGTCCAAGACAAAAATTTATGACCTACTTTCTACACCTGATAAGGAAGTTAAAAACAGGCAACATCTTGCTGTATGTTTGTAATTTTGTTAGTGCAGCAGGATTAGAGAGCATTGAGAAACAGCCTGTGTCTTCAGTTCATTGTCAAGGATGAAAGTTATTTCTTTATTCCTATTGTTGAATAGTCAAGTCTGGTTCCATAGCTTGAATCTACTCAAGTTTAAGAATGTAGGGATATTGCTAAATAAGTATAAAAGATTGAGTGAGGAGAAAATTGTATTCTCAAAAGAAGCATTTGGCCTAGGATAAAATCGGTGAGAGGTTTCAAATTTAAAAAGCTTTGCTGACTGACACAAAAATGTTACGGTATGTTTCTCTCTGACCTCATCCAGAGGACTAGCCGCTTAAATTATTTGCTGGAGTGGGATAGGATTATGACTTTCTCAGACTAGCATAGGTCAAGAGAAACTTATGAAAATGTTAATCATAATAGTATTTTGTATGGTCATAAAGTTGGTACTAATCTTATCTAGTAAGTCATTGTTTAACCTTGTGATATACTAGGTGTTATCTATAGTTTGTTTGATCTAGACTGTTAATTGTCAATAATAACTCTGTGATATATATACAGTATTATTGAAAATATCCCCATCAATAAATAGCTCATATTATCAGTAATAGTGTAACCAGAGGAATGATCTTTTGAACATCAAATAAGAGGAGTGGAAAGAGGTTTTGTAGCTTATTTTTGTGTACTGAGGACACTGAAAGCATAGATTTATGTCATTCAAATTTTCAGCCAGACTTCTCTGGTTCTTACAATTCCACTAAAACAAAAGCTTTTATTATGTCACAAAGTTACAAAACCTATTTACAATCCCTTTAATTTGCCCTATTTGATGTTCAAAACTATTTATTAATGATGAAAAACTCTTTACATTCCCATTTATGATGGATTTATTCGCTAAATGTTTATGTAGATATTAAATTTGGGATGACCCTTGAAGCAATCATTGTGATATATTACTTCTTTAAAAAGTCAATCAATAACCCTTTGGAAACTGAGTGTAAATAATAAAACATCATATACCCTTAACCCTTTGGAAACTGAGTGTAAATAATAAAACATCACATACCCTTAACCCTTTGAACACTGAGTGTAAATAATAAAACATCATATACCCTTAATCCTTTGGAAACTGAGTGTAAATAATAAAACATCATATATCAATAACCCTTTGAATACTGAGTGTAAATAATAAAACATCACATACCCTTAACCCTTTGAACACTGAGTGTAAATAATAAAACATCATATACCCTTAACCCTTTGAACACTGAGTGTAAATAATAAAACATCATATACCCTTAACCCTTTGAACACTGAGTGTAAATAATAAAACATCACATACCCTTAACCCTTTGAACACTGAGTGTAAATAATAAAACATCATATACCCTTAACCCTTTGAATACTGAGTGTAAATAATAAAACATCATATACCCTTAATCCTTTGAACACTGAGTGTAAATAATAAAACATCATATACCCTTAATCCTTTGAACACTGAGTGTAAATAATAAAACATCATATACCCTTAACCCTTTGAACACTGAGTGTAAATAATAAAACATCATATACCCTTAACCCTTTGAACACTGAGTGTAAATAATAAAACATCATATACCCTTAATCCTTTGAACACTGAGTGTAAATAATAAAACATCACATACCCTTAATCCTTTGAACACTGAGTGTAAATAATAAAACATCATATACCCTTAATCCTTTGAACACTGAGTGTAAATAATAAAAAATCACATACCCTTAACCCTTTGAACACTGAGTGTAAATAATAAAACATCATATACCCTTAACCCTTTGAACACTGAGTGTAAATAATAAAAAAAACACATACCAATAACCCTTTGAACACTGAGTGTAAATAATAAAACATCATATATCCTTAACCCTTTGAACACTGAGTGTAAATAATAAAAAAACATATATCAATAACCCTTTGAACACTGAGTGTAAATAATAAAACATCATATACCCTTAACCCTTTGAACACTGAGTGTAAATAAAATAAAATCATATTTGATAGATTGCTAATTATTAACGAATGGATACCTTTTTTCATCCCCATTTATATTCATCATCCTCATTTACATTGATAGTTTTTTCAGCATCACAACAATGTAGTAAAGTTATCTCTGCTATCTGAGTTGTTATAATAACACTATTAATATAGTCAATTTCATATGTTATAAAACATAGTTGCTATAGAAAGGTAGAGGTGACATAGCATAATTTTATATAATTTTATATAATTCTTGGTTGCATTTGACAATGAGTCATTTAGTTTCATCAGTTTGAACATAACATATCCTTTTAATTTCATTGTGAATCGTTGAAACTTTGTGTAGTGATAATTGTTAGTTATAGATATTGAAATGCGATGCTAAAAGTAGAATACAAGAAGAATTGTTGATATACTGATAGATAGCATCATTAATTAATTTATATTTTTGACTAGGAAGTTTAAAAAGGGTGAAGCTGTAATTTTGTGAAAATATGTTTAATATCTCTATGATTATGAGGTCAAAATATTATGGTGTTATCTATGATGTCAAAGTATTATTTTCTCTATAACAGTATTTCACAGAGTTCATAATTCCTTGACGTTGTGAAGATTCAAGCTGAAAATTATTATTTACATGTTCACTAAGGCAGTAACTTGTTACTTTCAATCACCCTATTCACCGTGGCAGGACTTTCATGATGTGATAATTAATATTTATAATTAATACATTTCTCTAATAGACCTTTGAAACTACTATGGTGAAAGAGAACAGTTCAATATGGAAGAATATAAAAGGCAAGTTGAGTTTAGTTCCACCAGGAGCCACACCACCAAACTGGAAAACTATTGGTCTCATGTTTATGTCTTTGGTGAGTATGTTACTGTAAGCTAAGCTTAGTATTGGACTCTGTGTTGTCAAAGTTAAAGGGATACTACCTCTAAGAACATAAAATTTGCATTCTCAAACACATATGATTGTATAGTTTTGGACACCTCAGTGGAAAATCAAGTTGGCTTTCGTCACTGGAGTTCCATATCAATGAAAATTGAGATAGTAGGACTACCTGGGGATTGTTGGCACAGTTTTCACCACCAGCAATTGAAATTAATCATTTTTAAACCACTTCAGGTACTATAAAGTACTCTTAAATACATAATATGTTGTATTTTTCAGTTTGGAAGTGCATTTGGATTGGTTTTCTTGTTTCCTTTTTTACCTGAAATGATCCTGGTAGGTGAATATTTTTATCTTTGGGGTCTAAATGATATAGTCAGTAATCTAATATGCTGGGATAACTTGATATTTTCACTACCACATGTACCACTCTTCAGATTGAAAATCTCTTCGTGTAACATTATGTCATTTAAAAATAGGAAACATTACAATAGAAGTATAGAGCTTATTACATTTCTGCCCCCGCAATAAGTATGCCTACTGTAACTTGTGCTGTTGCCTTAGCAGGACTTCCTCACTTCATGTCATCGTTCAACTGAGTCTATAAAGCCTGTACTGCTCATTTGCTATACATGTACTTATAATGTTTCAGTCGTTTGGGTATACAGAAGAAGAAAAAGGCTATTATGCTGGTCTGGTTGCTTCTAGTGTATTTGCTGGTAGGGCATTAAGCAAGTAAGTATAAGACATCCTTGATATTTTGTGCTTTTTATTGTGAATATTGTTAGAATGAAATGAATGGAGTTTTACTTTTCTGCACCATGTGAGTTAATGAAGACAGACAATGCCGAGGGATCTTTAATGTGCACAGCTTGTAGCACACAGGGCCTCAGTTTATTGTCCCATCTGAACGACTAGACACTTTTTCCATGTCTTTCCCCTCCTACCTGCATCACTGACAGGGGAATATTGGGTTGAAAAGAATAATTGTTAAAGAGAGATACATAAATTTGTTATTAGGGGGTGAGAGCAATGGTACTGGCATCAGAATTTTTCCTATCTTGCCTAGCAGACGACAAGGTTATTATCCTAAGAAAAATAAAAAAAATCTATGATCTACATTCATGTTAAATTTTGGACTTCTATTCTACCGACTTTTTTGATATTTCAGTTATTTATGGGGATATCTGTCTGATATTAAAGGGAGAAAACTGGTGTTACTGATCAGTATATTACTAAATGGTTTATTCTGTTTTGCATTTGGTTTTTCCAAAAATCTAGTCATGGCACTTGTGTTCCGTTTCTGTGCTGGCGCTTGTAATGGTAAGTACCTCGTTTGATTTGGATAAAACTTTGAACTCTCAAAAGTTATCATATGAAATATCCAATTGAAATTATCTTCTATATTTACAGGTATTATAGTAACAGTAAAAACAGTATTATATATCTAATGAAATATCTTCTATATTTACAGGTATTATAGTAACAGTAAAAACAGTATTATATATCTAATGAAATATCTTCTATATTTACAAGTATTATAGTAACAGTAAAAACAGTATTATATATCTAATGATATATCTTCTATATTTACAGGTATTATAGTAACAGTAAAAACAGTATTATATATCTAATGAAATATCTTCTATATTTACAGGTATCATAGAAACAGTCAAAACAGTATTATATATCTAATGAAATATCTTCTATATTTACAGGTATTATAGAAACAGTAAAAACAGTATTATATATCTAATGATATATCTTCTATATTTACAGGTATTATAGTAACAGTAAAAACAGTATTATATATCTAATGAAATATCTTCTATATTTACAGGTATTATAGAAACAGTAAAAACAGTATTATATATCTAATGAAATATCTTCTATATTTACAGGTATTATAGTAACAGTAAAAACAGTATTATATATCTAATGAAATATCTTCTATATTTACAGGTATTATAGTAACAGTAAAAACAGTATTATATATCTAATGAAATATCTTCTATATTTACAGGTATTATAGAAACAGTAAAAACAGTATTCTATATCTAATGAAATATCTTCTATATTTACAGGTATTATAGAAACAGTAAAAACAGTATTCTATATCTAATGAAATATCTTCTATATTTACAGGTATTATAGAAACAGTAAAAACAGTATTATATATCTAATGAAATATCTTCTATATTTACAGGTATTATAGGAACAGTAAAAACAGTATTATATGAAATATCAGATGATACAAACCAAGCTGTTTGTATGTCAGTATTATCTCTATCCTGGGGAATGGGATTAATCGTAGGCCCTTCTGTAGGAGGTGAGAGTGATGTATAAACTTTTATAAAGTGACTAGAGCATGATATCTAGTAGGATATTGATATTATATAGTGTACTAACTGACACATATTGCTACATGAAATGATTGTTATAATGTAAGAAACTGGCACAGTGTAAACAAAAAAAATATATAACTGCATGGTGCTCAGAAACAGCCCATGTAATAAGCAAAATGATTTTCTTCAGAGATGCCCTATTGTGTTGTATACTACATGATTCATTTTTTAATGATGTATATCATTATTTTCAGGTTGGCTAGCCTCGCCTAATAAAAAATACCCTGATGTATTTGGTGATAACTGGTTTTTTGAGATGTTTCCCTATATATTACCTGGTAGTTTTTGTTTTCTCTGGTCTTTCATATCATTTGCTGTTGTTTATTTCCAATTTGAAGAAACTTATCAATTAAAGTATGTGAAATTTAAATGTTTAGATAACAAGGTGAAAACTACCATACATGTCCAAATGCAGGACATAAGTTATATCTAACAGCTGACATAAGTTATGTCCAAAAACTGACAAAATGTTATATCCAAAAGCGGACAAAATTAAGAAGGTAGACATGAAATGTGTCCAATAGCCATCTGGGATCACTCACTTATATAGAATAACTAGATATATAGATTACTATATCTAACATTTATTAACTCAATGTTACACTTGCTCACACGGACAGTGTTATCAAATATTAATTCAACAATTCACATGTTCATACTGGCAGCCTTTTCAAGAGAAAAACTGAAATTTTTGCCCATGTGAAATTGATAAACCATTTGAAATAACAGTGACAGGAAGTGACATCGAGAGAATAACAAAAAAAATTTTGTTTTGTCTTTAGAAATAACTGCAATATTTTTTTTTCTTTATTTGTTAGAAATACAGTAACCATTATTGACGACCCAAATGAAAGTGAGGAATCCAAGTTTTTAAGTGCAGGTGATTATCCACAGAATAAATCAGTGCACAGTTTACGATCAGCGCATTTTTCTGCCATATCATGCGAAGACTTACATTGTGAGGTGGAGGCAGGAACATTTTTGGCACAAGAGAAACTAAGAAAAGAAGAACTGGCTCGATCTTTTGAAAATCTTCGACGCTACACAGCCAATCATAACATTACTATTACTGTAACTGATGAAAACTCTGATATCATTTTAATGGAGAAACCTCCGAAAATAGACAAAAATGATACAAAAGTGACTAAAAATGATAACCATGCAGTTGATGATAGCTGTAAACAGATAACAGAGAAGACACAGTTGACAGAAAACGTAGTTAAAGATGAACAGAGATCATTTTCCATGTGTTACAGAGTTTGTACTCCCATGGGTATATTACGGTAAATATTATCATATTGTTATCTCTGATATCATTACGTAAGGTAAGTGCTAGGTATGGCCCATCATGCCATGCTACAATATATATTAAAATACTAGGTATTGAGGGGTGAATGCCGACATGGCCAACTCTTAAAGCACTGGTACAGGCATCATAATTTTTCTTGCCTTGAGGATTTGAGCCCACGGCACCTTATCGCCTAGCAGACGGCAATCCAACTCGCTACCGACTGAGCTGTCCCACTAATACTGGGGATACTGTGTTATATGTATCACAATATGGCAAATAAGTATAACTTGATCTTCAAAGTTTAACTGCTGTTACGTTAACGTCAAACCTCAACTTTCGATTTCTTCTATATTTGGAAGAGGTTTAGATGTGTTGCAAACTTTTTGGATTTCCTAAACTCCTATGTAAAAACCCGAAATCTAACATCAGACTACCAGAAATAATTCTAATTCTATCTTTCACATTTTTTGCAAAACAAAATTTTGTTTTTGTTTCCAGTGAACCTAATGTAAGAAATAGTATATTAATGTATACAATATATTCCTTCGCTGTGATTGGTTTTGAAGATGTTTTCACCATCTGGGCATCAACAGAGAGAAGGTTAGGTGGGTTAGAGTAAGACTTTAGTCTGTTAATTTGGTTAAATTGCAAGCCAATGTTGAAATGAAATCTGGAGTTATCTGTATACTTTGCAAGTTACCATGGTAGATCAATAAATACATGAGGAGTCTTATCCTAGCATTCACACAAAATTTAAAGAAATAAAAGAAAGATAGAAACAATCATTTTACAAAAATACGAAAAAAATCATTTTACAAGGGTTATAAGTTAGGTTCACTAGGAATCAGCTGGTCCTTAGCAAAACCTTTTGGCATTGATCTTTCTCAGATCATCCATAACCACAGCTGGGTTGACTGGAATATTGTAAGATGATTTATTCAAGGTTACCAGACTTTCACATGCCAACCAATATTAAACCATGACTACCATAAGTTTGGATATGCATGTAAATGACGTTATGTTAAGATTGCAATACTCTATCTGACTTCGCTACAGCCCCTTCTCAATCATAATTTTTATTTCAGATGGGTTAGAGTTTAATACTAGTGAAATAGGAACATGTATGGGAGCAGTAGCTATACCATTATTAATATTACAAATTAAATTCTACCCACTAATAGTCAGTAAATTAGGGGTCATTCAGGTCAGTGGCTTATTTCAGATCATACCAAAGCTAATACAGAGAGTACTCCGACACTCTCACTAATACGACATTGTTTTGCGGTCCCAGTGTATATCGGATTACGCAGAGTATACTGTACTACAATTAGACGACTGAATGAGTTAGGGATTTCTGAGGGCAAAATTATTGATCAAAGAGGCTTACATGGGTTATGGTTTATCTGGATTATATGGTCCTACATACTAGTGGCTCAACTGGCTGTTTTTGTTGAATATCCCTAAATAATTGCAAATAAATAAGATAACAGTGATCCCCTGGAAAAATTAATCATATCTTTTTCAGACGTTTATAATATTTAATATAGTATCATTAGTTTGTGTTCAGATTATGCCAACACTACATCTATTACAGTCAGAGCAGTAAGTTTAATTTGTTTAAACAAACACTGAATTTTAATCCACTGCACTGATGGTGGTCATCTGAAACTTTCTGACCTTCTGGAAATGAAAAATTAAGGCTGGTGTACGTTATTGGGAAATAGTAAAATAGACATGCTGAAAGATAATATCAATGAATGATGACCAATCAAACAGACCTGTATTTGTTGTGTGGCGGAGACTAATGCCAGCAAGGTTCTTTGTGAGACAAATATGGCCAAATCAACATTTGTGGTGTATGGGTATAGAAAGAAAGGAAGAGACAATGATAACAACAAGGATAACAACAGGTGGTCCTTGAACAAAGCTCTTGGCATTGATCTTTCTTGGATTATCCATACCCATTTACAATTGGAAAGACTTTTTTTGAGACCATACTGCAAGAATACTCTTGAAATAAATCTTGAATGTGGTTTGAATATATTGTAATTTCAGAAAGTCAACATTATGGGCCTTGGTAATTATTTTATTATTGGCCCAGAAATTAGGGGCAACGTGTTGTTTTAGTGGGTCAGCTATATTGATAAATAACTCCTGTCTCCCCAGTGTAGTGGGCACTGCTAACGGTATTGCTATGACTTCTACAGCTTTAGCTAGGTAAGTATCTTCAGTTAGAAGAATCTGGGTGGTGAAGGTGTGACTGGGGAAGGGTGTTATGAGGTGTTTTGGTGGGTGACCAAGGCCCTAGGGAAGGGTATTACTCAGTGTAGTGGGAACTGCTAATGGTATAGGCATGACCTCTACAGCTATAACTAGGTAAGATAGGCTTTGGCCCCCTACTTCCAAATTTTATTTTACAAAGTAAAAGAATGGCCTGTGGCCCACCTGAAAAATTTGTTGCTCAGCTCCCCTCACCTGATGTTTCCTAGAAACATCGCCGTATGCGTCTATATTACCATGTAAATCTATTTCAGAACACTCGCACCAACTATAGGAGGTAGTATGTTTGCCTGGTCTGTGTCCAACAGTCTTGGTCCACCATTTGATGTGAATTTAGCGTTTGTACTCATGGGACTGGTGCTGACTTTTAGTGGTATATTTAGTATTATGCTTCCAAAGTCTTTAAATAAACAGAGAAAAGCTGTCTAGGAAGACTGGATATGGGGATATTTTATGATGCTTATATCCTTAGATGGGAGATGGGGATGTTTTATGCTGTTGATATGCTAAGACTGGAGATGGGTATGTTTGTTGCTTCTGATATGCATTGTGGACATCTTCATTAGGACAACTGCTTTATAATACCTTATAAGTGTCAAAAAATTTACTGTGCCATAGTTAGATGGGTATGTTTTAGCCTGTATATATGCATCTGTTTGTGAAATCCTCATCAGGTCAACTAATTTAAATACCCTAATATGTCAGTGTATTTGACAGGATGTGGGTTCTTTTTTGTAAGACCTAATTTAAAAATGTGATATACATCTTGGATATAATAATCCTCCTCAGAACAGCTGATTAGCATGTACCCAATCTTTAAATATATATCACAAAAAAGAAGGTTTCAATTCAATGCTTTAAGTTCATAAGAAATTATTTCAAGATGATGATCTATGTTCTGAATATAAAATCCTCATCAGGACACAGGTCTCGATTGAAGCTGAAACCAGCTGATGCCCCCCATGCACATTGGGCTGATTATGTGCCTGTCAGGACAGCTTTACAGTTAGTTAAAGTATAGCTTTACCAGCTAGCAATCCAGTATTGATATCTGTTTATTACCCCTAGAAAGTTTTTTGCATGCTTAAATAGTCAGCTGTAAGTGTTTATAAGAAACCGGTGTCAAGATTAGTCATTAAGACAATATATTATTAATTGTTAAGTCTATCACAATCGTTTTTTGATATTTTTTGTTGTTATTTTTGAGTCTTATCACATGTTTTCAGAACTAGAACTCTTGAAGCGTTATTAATACATATATAAGTAGTCAAAACATTTACTGCTGAGAGCAAGAGTTCTAATTGGTTACCAGTAAGTTTAATACAATAAAACTTCCTCACAATATGTTGGTGGTTGTTGGTATTTTACGGGTTAAATATAAGAAATAAAAAAAGAAAATGATCCAAGAATTTAAGTTTTTATGAGAACCCGTCCTTGAATGAAGTGAATTTGAAGTTTTTCAATTTATACAGAAACCAGCAATTATTTAATATAAGCTTTACATAGTCATTGAATTGAAATAACTTCAAGGCTTTTTACTGGCCTTTATTTTACATTTCATTGCAATATAGCTTGTAGCGATATAGCTCATAACAATATAGCTGAGAAATATAGCTCTTGGCAATATAGCTCATAATAATATAACTCTTAGCAATATATTTTTTGGCATTTTATTTCATGGCAATATATTTATTGTCCCTAAATATATTTTAAAGCAATATACTCCATGGCACAACCTTGCAATTATATTGTAAAATAATTTATCTTTTTGTCGACTATTAACTAGATCATGACCATTATTTTATTGTTTATATTTTTTACGTTTCGATTTTAAAAGAGGGGAATTTTTAACTTACATCCTTTTTTACGTTTTGATTTTGAAGGACAGCAATATTTTTTATATAATATATATTGTTATCACATGACAAAGAAAGTATTTTCAAATTTTAGTATTTTTTTTTTTTTTAAATGATTAAGTATTATATTTCTTGAGGTTACAAGTATATTTCTATCTATTTCTAGATATTATCTTATTGTTATTTTAATAATAAGAGAAGATAACTAATCATAGTGAAGTGGGTCGAGAAATTTTCCATTCAAATATTTTTAAAATTTATTTTGTTCCAAAGATTGTTCAGGTATTATGAATATTTGTTATTATTTTTTGATGTAAATGCTTTATGCTGTATATTGTTGTTGTAATTGAGAGGGATGAGATGAAATATATTTTGGAATACATTTGAAATAAAAATATTGAAGGACATGTTAATGTCTATTTTTTCTGGATTTTGAATTTTGAAAGTCCCCAGAATGTGTTGAAAGTTGCATTTTTTTTATGAGAACCCACTGTACTTTATAGCTCTGTCACACCGGACTGCGACCATTTGTAATCGTGTTGTGAATGAAAATGTACTGGGTCGCTGGAAAAGTAGACAAAACAAGAGAAAGATTCCCTTTAAATTACAAATTCTGGTATCAATCAGCTGCCATATTCCGTTCAAAGGAGCATTTCTAATAAAATCTATGGGCTTATTGCTGTTCATTTTACTTGCATTTATGCAGATGTTACGACACAAAAATGAAACTGTTGTAGTCTATTAAATGAGTTTTATTTTACAAGTGACAAATAAGATTCATAACAATATACACCAAATAATACCATAATTATATACATCATTTATATACAATAAAAACAGTACCAGTTAACAGTTTATTCCAGTTGGCAACAATGAAAGATGGTTGTTTGCTTGGGTAAGAGTCAATATAGATCAAATGGGCAAAAAGTCGGTTTTGAGAAGGGGATCAACAATTTGTATCCTGATTTTTATTCTGTGTATATCAGGGTACATTTCTGTTTCCCTGCTAAGACATTAGGTCATAAGTTAAATCGCAATAAAACAGCTCAAAGAAAAGGCATCAATAGATTTGAATAAGACTGTCATTTCCTAGGCACGAAATCCACTGCTTAGTTCAGCCAGTAGGAGTTGGATTGTCATCTGCTAGGGAATAAAGTGTCATAAGTTCAAATATATTTTTATATACAGTTAAAACAGTAGGACTTAACAGAACTAAAATACAATATAAACTATATAGCAGGAACACAGCAGAACAAAAATATGAACATGATCAGGAGAAGAGTTATTTTCCAAACATAGATAAGTACAGTGACTGAACCACACCTAATTCCAGTCCATTCATAGACACTTTAAGCTAAATCTTTTATCTAAATTAAATGAATTTGTAATGTTTTTATGTTTCAATTATTTCCACTACTTATAAAAAAGAATAGGAATTAAAAATTAGTGAATTATTTGAAAGAATTATTTCAATCGTGAGTTAACAAAAAGTGCTTTTTAAAATCATAGAATTAACAAATCAAGAGATCCATCTAACATAAGACTATGGATCTATAACATGGAACTGTCAAATCTTATATCAAAAAATATATCCATACATGATTTTCTTGCTCAAAAATGAGAAATATTGTTTGAGGATGAAAAATTTTTACCAGAAGTTGATCATCGAAAAGATTCCAACTTTAAATTTTCATATGAGAACTTTGATTGGTTAAAACATTTAATACAATATGATCCACTAATCAGTGTATTTAGTATTGTGCATATATCTCTATCTTCTATGATAACAGATTCCGAAATAGAAATAAATTCACACCTTTCATATTTCACTGAAACCAACAGGCCACAGTTTTAACTAGGAGTTTCTATGAACATCCTCCCTCTTAATACCAAAATCTATGGGTTTATTTGGATATATTAATTTTCATTTATTTTTACTGATCTCTTGGAATATCAAATTGTGGGTAATAATGAATTCCATGAAAAATGATAACCCAAAAAATAAATAATTCAAAGAAGGTTGTAGTGATGTTCAGTAGCCCATACCACCATAGGGCATTCTAGGGACAGGCATGGCATTGTTGCTAGGGTAGGGGGCTGATTGACTGGAGGAACTGTACGAAGTTATAGATGTAGAGACACTGCTAGAATAATTAATATGAACAGAAGAACTGGGGTTACGAATGATTTCACCCATTTTCTCTGATTTTATCCTTTTGGTATGAGCTTCTTTACGACTGGGTATATACTTCTGTAGAAAATCATTCACATCTATTTCCTTTGAACAAAATTCTGAAGCCAAATCCTGAAACAGAGAAAGAAATGAAGTTAGATAATAGTTTTATAGCCCAATGCTGCTCCTTTTTGGGAAATAAAGCGTGCAATGAAGACACTTTTAATAGGACAGTGCCCTTAGTCTACACAATTTCAAATTTTCATCTTTGGTATAATGTGCACAAACTGTAGTACATGGCCTTTGTTTTTTTAATGGTTCAAAAACTGGTTAGTGAGCATTAGCCTAACAATTGAGCCAATGCAGCTACCTCTATATGATAAAAACTTATATAAGAAATATGCAAGCTTACCTCTGTCTGTTCTTCAGCTTTAGCAGCCTCTGTTTGTAAAACAGCTAGTAATGTATCTAATGATTGTTGACTAGAATGTTGATCTACAAATACAAAATACAAATCTCAAAAACCTCCCTTTTTAGGTTTTCTCCACATAAAGAATTTGTTTTCTTAATTATTATTATTTTTTTTTTGATTTATAAAATGTTTTCAGTACTAGCTCCATTCTCAAATAAAGACTGTAAATCAAGGTCCTGCAACCCTTTTACCTAATGGACACTATAGATCTTACATCTTTCGTACAAATTTCACATGTTCATTAACATAAGAACAACATTTATTTCAAAGAACCAATAATAAAACTTACCTAATTTGGCAATATCTGTTGCCAGTTCTGTTTTTAAAGTATTTAATTGTTCATATTCAGTAGCTACTTCACGTTTTAACTGTTCAAATCGAGGTTGTAAGGAAAGATTATAATCTGCTATTGATTTATTACTCGCTAACGATGTTTCACGTTCTGTATTTATATTCTTTACCTATAAAATATAATATTCTCTTTCAAAAATTCATTCCCCAGAGAGGAACCCTTGGATCTCTAAGGCAAAGGTTTTTACCTCTGATATTAAATATTTATTGAAATGAATATGTTTCCATGTACAAACCAGTCTGTTGTTTCTCAAAGTAGAATTCCACCTTATGAAGATTTTCTATCCAAAAACTTTTTGAGATAACGGGGCCAGCAGTCCTGATAAAGATTCCGTCTCTGGAACAGGAATTACCAGCATGGTCTTTTGACATTTAGAGTCTGCTTACTTTTTTCAAAAGTCTTAAATCCTAATATAGGATTGTTAATCCAAGCTGTTCCAATTCTAACAGAATGAGATGATCTCTTGACTTTTGACAAATTTAGTCTGAAGCCTTACCTGTTGTAAATCTTGTATAATGTCATCTAATTTTCCTTCATTTTCTAGAATCTGTTGTAATTCAGCCATACTTTTATTCTGAAGTAGAGCTGTAATGGCTGTATCGTCCATCTGTAGCTGATTGGAATGGGCGGCTGGTGGAGGGGGGCCATAGCCTGAACTTCTGCTATACTGATTACTGTACATCTTGATGTGTTTTAGTTGTTCTCCTGTAAACTAGTTTTTTCTTTTACACCTGAAATGAAGTGAATTTTTCCTTTATGATAAATTAAATGTCACAATTAAAAATGTCAACATACTAGAAATTAGTGCTATTCTATTATGTTGCTATTGGAACCATGTCTAAGCTTAAGACTGTGATTATTTTCAGGTAATCGTTATAATGGTATTAAGTGCTGCATGTTACAAATGTGTATATTTGACATTTTCATACTTGTTAATGAATAATGTATTTTAAAAAAGATTGTATCTATTAATAGACATTATCCATTATAGTGAATAATCAATTTGGAAAGTGATTTAAATTAATGGGACATATGCCAATAACAATGGAGTTTCAGTGGTTGTTAGATGAAGTTAATAGTTAATGCCCCCTTCCTTCCAGAGACATGTGCCCATTGATTGTTCTGTATAGTACATCTGTTAATATCATATTTACTATAAAGGACACGTGTGATTAGACATTAGACAACCAACAAGCACGAGAACCCAGTGGGAGCAAGAGCTCACGCTCTTGATCTCATTGATTCCGTGTACGCCGACCATTTGAAGATCTACACCGATGGTTCCAAGAGTAGTACCGCAACAGGATACGGTTTGTGCATCCCAGCAAAAGGCATCCGCATCAGTAAAAGGATCCCCCCGCACTGTTCAGTGTTCACAGCAGAACTTTTTGCCATCAGGGACGCGGTAGCATGGCTGTCCGTCAATCACACGGAGCATGCCGCGATTCTATCCGACTCGCTAAGCAGCCTCCAATCTATTTTTCTCACCTCTTCTAATTGCAGGTCAGAAGTTATTTCCGAAATAAGAAGAATGATCCACAACTACCAAACCAACAACAACCAGAAGATTGAATTAGTATGGGTTCCATCGCACGTCTCCATTCCTGGCAACGATCAAGCAGACCGTTGTGCCAAAGAAAGTCTGAGTCTGGAGGATATCGAGCCTGTAGAATACTCCTATTCGGAGTTCTGCAGTATCGTATCTTCTAGGATCAACCAGAAATGGTCTGACATGTTA